GAGAACTTCTACCTGAAAGTTTTTCCTTCACCTCTTATTGACTGGGCTATATTAAAAACCTTGAGTAGATTAAAAGCATTGTCTGTATTGAAGTAAAAACAAAAAATTTACTTAGTAAGTCCTCTTATTTTATATTCCAAAACATTTTTCGACAAAAACTTTATGTTAATATTTCAAATAAAGAATCATAAATAAATGACGAAATTCTTCGTAGAAATTTGAATAAACATTTAAATAAGAAGCAGCGATTTGAAATATCACGCGATAGAGATCATTAATCAAAATTTTCTTATTATTATCTCAATAAAAAGGACATTTAAGGGGTTACATGGGGTTGAGACTTTAAAAAAAATCTTTTTTTTTTTTATTTTTTTAAATTCTACAACTTATCTAGAATGTTGTATTTAATTTTGAAGTCGATAGGAGTAATAGTTTAAAGGATAGAGCCTTGAGAAGTTACACTCTTTAATGGCTCTTTTATCAGCATTCAAAACTTTAAACGCGTTTTCTAAAGTCGGTTGTCAAAATTTGTTTTTTTTTTCATAAAATCGAATTTGAAGAAACCAAAATGTGGTGCAAATTGTAGCGAAATTTGAATGTTCTTCATCAATACTTATTCACTAAAAGACCCTATTTTTTCCACTGAAAAACCCCCACCGTTTATGAGTTCTGCTGTCAACGCGAAAACACTATTTTTCGGTGGGGTTACCAGAAATAAAATCGCAATGGCTAAATTTACAATATTTTTCAACCAAAATTTCAGAAAATGTTTTTTAAATATGTATCTTAAATGTTATAAAAAATTTGAATAAGAATTCCTTTTTTTATATAGAAAAAAAAATTGTTTAAAATATGCTATTTTTTCCCGGTGTAAACCCATGTGACCCCTTAAGAAATAAAAAAGACTTCTAATCTGTATCTCTGAAAATTATCAATTTTAAATATATATCCCATTTGTTATATTAAAAGTATAAATTGGCATAGTCCCTGAAAAAAATGTACTATGATCTTATTCTCGTTAAAGGAATGAAGGGTTAAAAAAAAGAAAAAGAAAAAAAAAATTATGTTCAACGGGCTCGTCCGGGATTTGAACCCGGGACCTCTCGCACCCGAAGCGAGAATCATACCCCTAGACCAACGAGCCATTTAAACTGCGCAATATATATTTATTTATTTGTAATAAATTAGATGGTTCAATAAATATTTTGAATTTTGTGAAAAAATATTAAAGACAAAATTACTTTATTTCAAGGGACAAATATGATGGCAAAAACACAATTTTTTTTGTAAAATTACTTTTCACGAAATTTCTAAATCATCGATATGCTTCAAAATGAAAACGAAACAGTTTTGTTATGAAAATGGAGTATAAGAGTTGAATATTTGAAAATGTCTAAAAATAATATTTAATCTTAATATATACACCTGTATCTATATCATATATCTTTTTTTGTAGTAAACAACATGAGAATAAATATATAAATACGCCTACATAGTAAATATTTCATGAGTAAAAATACGAAATTATGTACATATATTATTATCTATAAATTTGGAGGATATTTTGTTATTTCTAACTTATATAATTACTAGTACAATTAAAAAATTATAAAATATCAAAAGCCTTTAATTTCTCTTTTAATAAATTAAGTTAATTAAAAAAAATAACATTATTCAATAGATATAGAAAAAGAATAAAAAGTTAAAAGTTTCAAAAAAGAGTTAATAAAATTACTCTATTAACTAACTAACAATTTTTTCACGATCTTCCAAGTAACCATTTAATTTTTGTTCCCCCTTTATTATTAGATGTACGGTCCATGAATCACGATATTTATATAATAGCGTAAAATATTATTAGTTTATAAAAAAAGCCGTTCACACGCACACTAGCAGAGAAACATACGATAGCTTGGTGATAATCAAGGTCGAGCTTTGTTAAAATGAACCTATATTAATTTAATAATCAATAATGTAGTTTACTATAAAAATATATATAATGTACTTTAAATATAATATTCTTTATTTTTTTTTAAAAGAAGAAATCGTTTATTGATCATGTGAGTAGTTTTACATTTTTGTTAGACGAAATTGAGTATCTGATTATTATGTCGAATCAATCTCAACAGGGGGCGTAGCTCAGATGGTAGAGCGCTCGCTTAGCATGCGAGAGGTACCGGGATCGATACCCGGCGCCTCCACAGATCTGTTAATTTCTTTTTTTTTTTAATTTTATAAAAATAGAAAAATATTATTGTTGTATAAAAAATATATATTAATTCTCTTCATTTCTACAAATCTTCAATTGATTCATCTAATTTATTATAGTCATATTCTGTTTGACTCATCAAAAATTTGCACTATTGCAGGGAGGGAAATTCAATGGTTGAAAGAATTTTTTCTCAAGGGCATTTTTTTACGAGATTTTTTTAAATTTAACCTATATATTTGATGTTTTTTTTTTTTTTTTTAATGTAACTATATATTTTTTTTTTGCAATATTCTTCCAGAGCATGAAGAAAACAAATAAAAATGATCTCCATGACCATATCATACTGATCGTTTATTCTTGAGATATTCATATATATAGAAAGATAATTACTGTGTCCACCTTGAATCTCTGTTATTTGTAATAATGTAAAAAAATGTTTGGTAAAGAACTTGTATTGCATAGAAGAGGGGGGGGGGGGGGGGCAAATTGTGATGCCAATTTTTTTCGTGTGGATGGAAGTGTAGAGGAGATTTCAAGGTTACCTTCATTTCTTACAATTGGAAACTTTTTTAGAAAGTTTCCTTTTTTATTACAGAAGATATACAAAATTATGACCACTTACGTGAATGCTATTATTATAATAGGGCATAACAACGCATAATAAAATATGTACATCGTTTATCGCTACAAGTATTACACATTTGCATGCTAATATAATAGTAGAGTCAACTGATAATAAGACATGTACAAATTTTAGCGATACGAAAAGTTATTTTTTTACTGCAATTATTTAAAAACGATACATATTTTATGAAAAAAAATGAAGATAACTTTGAAATATCCTCTACGCAAAAGAAATAGGCATCACAATATGGCCTATTCTATGACAGCATTGATTGCTGTCAATAACAGTCAATAACAATGCTGTCATTGCTGTATAGCAGTACTTTATTGATTGCTTTTCGGTATTACAAATAGTTTAATATACCAATTACAGATCTATACGAGACAGAAATGAAAATAAACAATTAAAAAACCATAAAATAAATTAGTAATAAATATAATAAATAAATTAGGTGGAGTGATCACATATATTATGTATTCTTAGATTAAAAGCGATGAATATTTTCAATATTTTTTTCTTTTTTATTATATATTTGTGTATGTTTAATTATGTACGGAGAAAATAAATGTAATATATATTTAAAAAAATGAAAAATATTTAATAATTTATATTAAAAAATCCCCGTTGCACCATCGGCGCCGTGGCTTAGTTGGATAAAGCGCCTGTCTAGTAAACAGGAGATCGAGGGTTCGACTCCCTCCGGGGCCTTGATCGTTGTAGTTCTTTTTTTTTTTTTTACACGCTTAATTTCTTTTAACTTTATATTAGATTATTCAGAAAATATATCTTGTTTCCTATATATATTGTGTTATTATAAAATATCTAGTTTCTTTTAATCGCTCGTATGCATATACCATGTAAAATGTGATAAATTAATGTCTTACATAGGCTAGTATATTTATAGGTTATTACGCCTTCTTAGATTGGCAGTACTGTTGGAAATTGTTCTGAAGATATCTCCACCATCCTTAGAAAAGGAAAGGAGGTTGACGGCTGTTTATGATAAGTTTTTTTATATTGAGAAGAAATTTATATATTGTGTTTGTGCATGGAAGAAACAAAATCAATTTCGTGATTATCTATAAGGATAGATTAGTATTATTCTACGAATAATGTCTTATAAAAATTGAATCATTGTCATTTTAGTATTGACCGCACCCCATTGACGTTTTTCATTAAATTATACGGGGATATATTGTATTATATTATATTTATTACTTATATCAACTTATATATATATTTATATATACAGATAGATATACATATATAGTATTAAACAAAAAATGACAGTGGTGCATAATTTGGGTGTTGATGTTATAAGTTATCATGCTTGGAACAAAGATAGAACAGGTATGTCTAGATAATACTTCTAACTTAGATTAAGTATGTGTTAAATTAATTTTTTTTTATACAGAAGTAGCAGTATGCCCAAATAATAATGAAATTCAAATCTACAAGCATTCCTATTCAGGATGGAAATTACTTGATACGTTACAAGAACACGATATGCAGATTATGGGTGTTGATTGGGCACCTCGTACTAATCGCATTGTGACCTGTTCTGCAGATAAAAATGCATACGTTTGGACGCAAGGAAAAGATGGAAAGTGGAATCCTGCTTGGGTTTTATTAAGAATAAATCGGGCTGCCACATGTGTAAAGTGGTCACCTTTGGGTATATTATTATCTTTTAAAATGTCTGTCTCTCTAAGAGATAAAATTTGTATCTACTGTTGTGATAAATTTTTTATTTTACAGAAAATAAATTTGCTGTTGGTTCTGGAGGCAGGGTAATAGCGGTTTGTTACTTTGTATCAGAAAATAATTGGTGGCTATGTAAACACATAAAGCGTCCTTTAAGATCAACGGTAACAACAGTTGACTGGCATCCGGATAATAAAGTTTTGGTTGCTGGATCAACGGATTATAAAGTTAGAGTATTCAGTGCTTTTATTAGTGATATGGAAGATGCACCAGGAACATGCGCATGGGGAACAAGTAATACCCTAGGCACATTATTAGCTGAATTCCCTAATACAAATAATGGAGGTATTTCTATGAGTATAATTATCAATTACTAATTTAAAATATATGTTGCTTTTACATAGATGTTGCATTTTTGTTAGGTGGTTGGATACATTCAGTTGCATTTAGCCAATGCGGTAATAAAATTTGCTGGGTAGCACATAATTCATCTATATGCGTCGCAGACGCTTCAAAAGGCAATGTAGTTTATAGGCTTTATACTGAACATTTACCATTTTTAAGCTGCATTTGGGTCGGTCCCAATTCCATTGTGGCCACGGTAATCCAGTCAAAACAAAAATGTTAACAATGTATATTGTTATAACACAGATTAGAAATAATACATTTTTTCCTTAGGGACACAGTTGTATGCCTATGTTATATTCTATCGATGACAATGGACAGATTTACTTTGTATCGAAATTAGATAACATGCAAAAAAAGGAAAGTGCTGGATTGTCTGCCATGAGAAAATTCCAGTCCTTAGATCGTCAAGCACGAAATGATTCTAATGACAATGCATTAGATAGCATTCATCAAAACACTATTAACTGTATTCGTCTTATGTCGGATAATGAATTTAGTACAAGTAGCCTAGATGGCCAGTTGGTCATTTGGGATTTGAAGGTATCATATATATCATATTTTGAGAACTACACATAATTATTAAATACATAAATAATGATATATTTTTGTAATAATTTTAATCTTACTTTCTGTGTCTCCGATTATGAAATATTTGTGAAATATAAAATAACAATTGTTTTTCTTTTTCCATTTTGTAGTCTTTGGAAAATTCTATTGCTGGACTGAAGATAGTTTAAGGAATCCTTTTTTTTACAAAACCGAGGTTAAAGTTATATGAAATTGAAGAGTGTATAATATTGAAATAAATCGTACATTAATCCTGCTAATTTTATTTTTGCTCCTGTTCAACTGAAAACTTTAATATGCGATATTGAAATACATGAAAATGTGTTGTAAAGTGCATTATCAAAAAGCAATAAACAACAAATACAATTATTATTGATATGTGATATTGTTATTGATTTATTAATAAAAATTAAAAGTATCTCATTAATTGATAATTTGTATCAATCTTAAAAGAGGTAGAAAATAAAAGGAGGAAGGGGGATAGTTATTTAAGTGTTATTTACATATAAAAATAAATATTAGTTAAAGAAAAAAGAGAAAAAAGGACAAATTTCCAATTGATTAAAAATGTAATGTTTGTATAAATTATACAAACATGATAATATCGATTAATTTATTTTGTGTGAAATGTAAAGTAAATAATATGATTATATAATTAATCGAATTTGAAAAATGAAAAAATAAATTTCTCTAGTTGGTGGTATCGAAATCTATCTTAAGAAATTGTAATCAATGGCCGTGTTATAATATCCCTTATAACGTATAGTACCGTAGTTATTGTCAGTTACAATGCATTGAACATGGCGGAAGTCACGGAGCAGCAAGAGGATAGCCATGTCTCGTGTAAAATCTTGATTATCGGAGCGGGCATGGCAGGATTGTCTGCTGCAAATCATTTATTGAAAAATAGTGAAACAGATTTTCTTATTGTTGAAGCAAGGGGACGTATAGGAGGTCGAATCATAGCAACACAACTTGGTATGGTTGAATTAACCTCTGTTCTAATATATATTAACAATCAATAAAAAGTCTTTTACTATTGTAGAAATCTGAATTACAACTAATTTCGAATATTGATTATTACAATTTTGTAAACTTAACTATTATTTACAATAAGTATAAATATTTTATGTGATTTTATCACATCATACTAGGTCAAAATATATTGTTTTTAATTCTTAATGAATAATACTAATTTTGATTACTGATCTATTTGTTTTACAACATATTAATTATTGTTGTATCTTATTTTGATAATATACATAATTGTAAAATAATATAATAATGTGTTACGTACTTTCGAATATATACATATATATATATATGTATATANTATATATATATTTATGGGTGAAATAAATTTTTTTAGTTTCCTTATATTTAAATGTATATATAAATTATTTTTGTATAATTTCAATTTAGGAAATGAAAAAATTGAACTTGGAGCAAACTGGATTCATGGAGTTTTGGGAAATCCTCTTTTTGAATTAGCAATGGCAAACGGATTGATAGATATCATAAATATACCCAAACCACATAAAGTTATAGCTGCGATGGAAGATGGAAAACAATTATCATTTCCAGTTTTGCAAGAGATATATGAAGCCTACGTGTGTTTTTTAAGACGTTGTGAAGAATACTTTTTAAGTGCTTATAATCCCCCGGATGGTATTAATAGTGTTGGAGCACATGTGGCGCTTGAAACTGATATATATTTGTCCTCTCTACCAGTTGAACAAAGAAGAATAAGACAGTTACTTTTTGATTGTTTGCTCAAAAGAGAAACTTGTATTACTGGCTGTGATAACATGGAAGAAGTTGATCTTATGGAAATGGGATCTTATGCTGAATTACAGGGTGGGAATATCCGTCTTCGAAATGGATATAGTGCAATATTGGAGCCAATAACAAAACATATACCAAAGAACTGTATACTTACTAAACATGTTGTTACTAAAATTAGGTAAATTATTAGATACCTTTTATCATTAATATTTATGATATATATATAATCTATTATTATAATTCGAATCTTAACTGTGTTGCATAGCTTTTATGAGTATTTATTTAGTTGAATTTTAGTCTATTTAAAAATTGCCTTTTCCTTTTTTTCTAATAAAATGTTTAATTTAGCTTTATTAATTTTTTTACTTTCGAATGTTTTAACATTAGTTATATGCTTATTATATTATTAATTTTTTGCATTTTATTTTAAATATTAAATTTTATATATATAAATTGTTATATAGTATACTATTTTTTATTATTAACTATAAGGATGATCATTATCATTGCTACTTTTTTATTGGCTTTGAAATGATTTTGTATTATATATTTTTAAAAGTATCTTTTTTTTAATTTATTATTTATGTGTTTATTATATACTTTTAAGCAATACAAATGCATATGTATATTATGTTAATTGTCATGCATACACGTGTAATAATCTCACACAATGAAGTTAATTTATAAAAGTTAAACGATGTTTATATGCTAATCATAATTACAGATGGCAAAAACAGGAATGTGAGAATGAAGCATCTGATGTAGCAACAAATAGCTCTAGTAGAAATAAGGTTATAGAAATTCAATGTGAAAATGGAAAAATGATAACCGCCGAACATATAATATGTACATTGCCTTTAGGAGTACTTAAAAAAAAGGCTAATGATATTTTTGAGCCACCCTTACCAGATAATAAACTCCAAGCAATAAATAGACTTATGTTTGGTACTGTAGATAAAATATTTTTAGAATACGAAAGGCCTTTTTTAAATCCTGGAATATCTGAAGTTATGCTTCTTTGGGATGATAGAGGATTGTCAGAAGACGACAGACAAGATTTAAGTAAAACGTGGTTTAGAAAAATATATTCTTTTATTAAAATATCAGATACACTTCTTCTTGGTTGGATATCAGGAAAGGCTGCAGAATATATGGAACAATTAAGTACAACCGAGGTCTCAGAAGTATGCACATCAATTTTAAGACGATTTCTTAATGATCCCTTTGTACCAGCTCCTAAGCATTGTTTACGTACCTCTTGGCATTCTCAGCCATTCACATGTGGTTCTTATACAGCTATGGCTGTTGGAGCAAGTCAAGTAGATATCAAGAGTTTAGCTGAACCATTGATACTACAAGATCAACCTTCCAAAATTATGATAACATTTGCTGGCGAACACACACACTCTTCGTTTTACAGTACTGTACATGGTGCATATTTAACAGGCCGTACTGCAGCTCAATTGTTATTAGAATCAAGAAGAAGTGAACAAAATCATATAAGTCTTAGTTGTGAAAGTACTAGTGATCTTAGCTCATGGATTCAAGGAATATCTTTAACTTAAAATTTAAACATTCATATATATATATATATATATATATATATATATATATGAATATATAGCATTTTGTTTCCAGACAAAAGCATTTTGTGTATTGCTTGAAAAAAAAACTAATCAATACTTAGCCATTTATGACGAAGGCGGATTAATTAATAATCTAATACTTCGGAAAAAAAAAAAAACAATAATTAAATAAAATAACGATCTTAGTTATGATTCTAATCTGTGTGCATGTTAAACAATTTTGAAATGGTATAATTTCAAATTACCAGCCTTATCTTTCTCAACAAATTATTTGTTAATATTTATTAATTGATCGACAAAAAGATGCATGTCACGTTTCTCTTTTTGAAAAAAAAGTGTTATGTTTTGTTTGTACTGTACAAATATTAAAAAAAAGTGATATATTTAAAAGAAATAAATTATAGAGCGTTTTTTACGCGACTGATTTAGAAATATAATGCACAATGTAAATTTTATTGATTTATAATCAGTTACTAATGCTTATTTATTAGAACATTTTATCTCGACGTTTTCTCTCTTTATTTTTTTTTAAATAGTAGTATTTTGCTATAATAATTTTTATATAATTAGATAATCAAACAAATTTTATTTCAAACTATTTAAATAATATTAATATTGTATGTATGTACAATTGATGATATAGAATTTTTATTTTATTAGTAAATTGATTTAAGAAATTTATATATTACTGTCATTCCCGAAGTATTGAAGATCACCATTACAAACTTAATAGCGTAATTTATCATTGTAAATTATTCCTTTCATATTAATAGCTGTTATTTTGATTAAATTTATTTCTGTGTTCGTGTTGGCTCGCTTATGAACAATGTTAAAAGATCAAAAATATCTCTCTAATAAAAGAAAATTGCATTTTCATAGTATACATATATATATACTATGGAATATATAGTATTTATATATACAAATCAATCATAACGATACACAGTTTGACTACAGAAAATTTTGTGCCATATTGTGTTCCTTTTCATTGTGCCTATATTTGTAATAGAATGAAAATATAAAATGAAACAATGAAAGATTAAAGAAAAAAAAAGAAATAATGAGTGAACAATTGTCAGGCGCGAACAATTTGGCGAACATAAATTTTACTGTATTTCATTAAATTTCAAATCACGATTAAAATTTTTATTGAATAATGTACATTTAATTAAATATCATGTATTGTATATATAATAAAAAAAGATTATTTGTAATATTATTATTTAATTTCTCTATATGTGTATACATGTGGATAAAACGATTACGTTTATGAGATATAAAAATATTTATTTGCGTATCAACGATTGCCTTTCGATAAATAATGTTTTATTTAATGTTAAGATTTTTTTGTATTCTCTGTAGTAAAAAGATAACAATTATAATCATATCGATTTGGAATAAATATTTTTGAAATATTACTAACAAAGGCTTCATCAGATTTTTAAAACTTTACATGGGCCATACAATGTGCAAGTAGTAAGACCCAATATTCAACCGTTTCCAAAAAAAAAGTGAGAAGTTTAGCATGCATCCTTACTTATCTATTCGTTTCATATTAGATAGAAAAATAAATTTTTTAGAGTTTAATTAAAAGAAAAAAAAAATTATAGAAAAAATTTCAATATGTAAAATCCTGAGCCTAATATTCGACGGTTGGTTGAAAAGTTTTGAGCCTAAGACGAGAAGGACTGAAAAATTTTAAGCTTGAGATGAGGAGGCGATTTTCTGATATTTTTTGTCTGCTAATTTAAAATACTATTAGATTAATTTGAAAAATATTTAGTTAAAAACTCTACATATTTTAAAAATAAACATTATTTATTCAGTTGGTAAGTTACCGACTGATAGTAATCTACCAATAGTTATTATTTACAACCATACAATTATATTATTTTTCTAATTGCGATCTATGTACAATTATATTTTATTATGTGTCTAATATAATTTACATTATATCTATATGTATAAGTATATTTTTTATGTAATAGAGAAATTTGTTACAATAAAGAACAAATTTACCTTTGTTAACTTTGTTTTTTTACCTGTATGTTACCTTTTAATACATGCTTCCAGTTAGTAATATTATATCTTTGAAAAAAATTATATAAAAGCCTTATAAACTGATAAAAAATGAAAATTTTAAGAAAAACTTTGTTACTTTCGTTTCTTTTTTGAATTTTCAACAGAAGAACATAACATACATGGAGATTGCATGATTTCGTATGTTACTTCTTTGTGCATCATGTGATCCTGTTACAAATGTAAAAAATGGAGGACTGGTTTGAAAACCGTACATTTGAAATTTTAAACGGGCAAGCATAAGATATCAGGAATTGTAACGTTTCTGCATCCTATCTCTTTATTCATCATGCGATTCTGTTACAAACTTCGATTTGTGGAAGGATTTCTTATCGAGTTCGTAATTGGAAAATTTATATATAGGAAAATATAATTTATTATAAGATATCATAATTAGAAAATTATTTTGTTAAGGATATTATCATAACTACTAATTATTAATATAATAAATTTCTTAATGTTCATATATTGTTCTTCGTTGTTTGGAAAATTTTTCATTTAAAGAAGTGAATTCGCCATAGTACGTTGAGATAGGATAATTTATGGTTTAATCCTCGCCCTATGGTTAATCACCATTAATAATAAGACGGTGATTATAGAGAGATCCATTAAAATTAATTCCGATATTCCATACTGGCAACCCCCATCACCATCGCAAAGTTCACTACTTGAAACTTTAAAATCTGCAACCCTTCACTTGTTCAATTGTAGGAAGGGTGGCATTTTATTACTACCACACGCAAATCATCAATCGTCAAAGTCGACATATCTTGCGTGACCCTGTTACAGAGGGGGCAAGCAAGGGTTAAGATGATCGATAATATATTATCTATGTATCTTTTGTATTACATATTCATTTTATTATATTTTTCACCTATATGGCTTGTAATTTCCGTAAAGGAAATATTTCTTCTACTCTATTCTCCATTAGACTTTTTATATGACAAAGAAAATGTAATAAATAGATGGATGGATGCAAAAAAAAAAACCAAAAAAAAAACAAAAAAGAGGAGAAAAATTTACAGGAAAAATACCAGAGGGCTCTTGTGTATCGCAATGACGAAAAATTTACGAGTTACAATAGAAATTTCCTAGTATTTTTAAATCGATAATCGGTCTAGTTTTCTTACAAGATGAAATTTCTCGCGTGCGTAATCGACCAATCTATAATTTTTACCCCAGTAAAGGAGGTCTTTACTCGGTCGGTAATTCATATAGCGTGTCAACCGGTCGACACACACGGCCATTTAATTTTTTTCATTCGATACACTAACTACTACTCGTAACAATCGAAATTGCTAACAACGGAAATGATCAAATTTTTTTCACAACTAATGACAATAACGATTATTATTATTATTATTATATTATGACTAAATAAATCATTGACAATTGATATAAATTCAAATCGTTAATAATAAATTCATATAAAATCCTATCTAAATGAACGAATCTCGTTATTAATTTTACTACAAATTACGACGAACGATATTGACGAGAATTCGATTAAACAAATATCATGAATTATTTCATGAATGGATAATTGAGAAACGGGCATTTGACCTTTCGATCATTTTCCTCTCTGTAATCTAATGAAAATATTATTAAAGGTATGAAATAATTGTGAATTAAATTGTTCGAGTTACGTTAATATAACGTTGCGATATATTTGGTGTCATGTAATTATAATTATAATAATAATAATAATAATAATAATTAAAATAAAGAAATTAAATAAACAAAATTATATTACCCATAATTACTGTTTCAAATTTAAGAGAGAGAGAGAGAGACAGAGAGAGACAGAGAGAGAAAGAGAGTGAAAGAGAGAAAAAGAGAAAGAGGGAAAAGCAAAGTGAGAATGAAAGATAAAACGATAGAGAGAGAAAGAGTATCTGGATCAACAAGTGTCGAACTTCCCTCGATGTGTGTAAGAAGAGCAAAGAGGAAAGCGGCACGCACCACACCACACCATTCGTAGTTATATTGATGCCAGTCGGGTTGCCGGTAGCGCAGGCGCGAAAACGCGAGTGGATTGTAACGCGAACGGGCGGGGGTTTCACGACGAAATGGTCGATATTTTAGCTATAGTAGGCTATAGTGGCGCGAGGTTCTTTCCCGAGGCCAGTCCTAGTCCAGAGTCGTCTCTCTTTATAATCGTCGCGAAAGAAAGGCTCGCACGCACGCATATCGAAAGAACAAAAAAAATAATATATATCGAGAAAGAGAACGAACAAAAAAAGAAAAGAAAGAAAAAACGAGAGAGAACGAGATAGATAGATAGAGAGAGAGAAAGAGAAGGGAGAGAGAAAGATAAAAAGAAATTAGAAAGGAAAGAAAAAAAAGGGGGAAGCACTGACAGCTTTGACATAATAACTGTCAAATAGAAGAAGAAGAAGAAGAAGATATATAGAAGGCAAGTAAGGAAATAATAAGAAGAAGAAGAAAAAGAAAAGGGAGAGAGAGAGAGAGAAAGAGACAGACAGACAGACAGACGGACAGACAGACGGACGGACGGACAGATAGATAGAGCGCATGCAAAAGGGCTGATTGTCGAGAGATACATCGGCCCTCCCTTTCTGATCGTAATAGATCGAACGAATCTTCATCGAGATTCGTTGTCTTTCTCTTTAAGTAAAGTGGTGAAACTAAGTGCAAATACTGTAAGGCCTGCTGAATCCTTGACGTCAGAGCAGCAGCCCCGTGTGCCGTGTTCAAGGATACATCGTCTTCGTAAAAGGTACGAGCAACTGATTATAATACTACAGTGTGTATACGTTATCATTCTTTTAATTTTTTGTCTTTTTCTTCTTCTTCTTCTTTTTTTTTTTCTTTTTTTTTGTTACACGAAGAATTGAAGAGAATGGTGGTGCGGAAGGAGAGAATTTAGTTATCGAAATGACTTATTTCGTGTTTGAAGGAAAGGCTTGTCGATAGGCGTGCTTATTGATTTCCCTCATTCTCTCTCTCTCTCTCTCTCTCTCTCTCTCTCTCTCTTACTCCCTTCTCTCTCTCTCTCTCTCTTTCTCTTTTTATCTCTATCTTCCCCTTCTCTTTCTATCTTTCTGTCTGTCTATTTATCTATCTATCTATCTCTCTCTTCCTTTCTTTCTTTCTTTCTTTCTTTCTTTCTTTCTTTTCCTTTCGTATCTATCTTTCTGTTTCCCTCTTTTCTCATTTCCTTATTCGTTTCCTCTTTTATTATTCGTAACTATTAAAGCTGCGGGTACGTTTACTTGTTCGTTCGTTTAGAACAAAAATGACCCCGTGTTTTCCTTCTCCTCCTTCTCTTTCCTTCTCCTACGTGGCGTCCATGTTTGTTACTTGCCAGTAACAGCACGGACGAGGTAGAAAGAGAGAGAAAGAGAAAAAGAGAGAGAGAGAGAGAGAGAGAGAGAGAGAGAGAGAGAGCATGATAAACGTGTTAGAAAATGCAATCTCTTCGCATGATTAGAAATTTTCGATTAGTGTTACGTTATACGTATCTGTAATATTCGTATTTGAATTTGAATTTGAATTTTATTCTTTTTTGTCCACGATGTCATTGCTAGTCGAGATTAAAATGGGAATTAAAAAAAATAAAAAGGGCAAAACTCGATAAAGTCCGTTTCCTGTTGGCCTGCTTTCCGTAACCAGGTAGGAAGGTCGCCCTTGTAATTATAACTCCGGATAATCTGAAAGCCTTCTCCTTCTTTTTAACTTTCCTTTGTTTTTCTTTTTTTTTTTTTTATATTACATCGTTCCTCCTTCTTATCCTTCCTTACATTCTTCTTCGTTTCACTTTTAACTTTGTCGCCATTTAACGAGTACGACGAACTTATACTTACTTATATACTTACTTGTCATCAGCTGATCGATCGTGTAATCGATAATTTGACAGTATTTCTATGACGTTTCATCATATTGTCCGATATTTAATTAAATGTTACATAAGAAGTCTAATCAACGTTACAACAAAATTAATTGGTTGGATAGAAAATTAATAGAATTTCTGAGTTATTATTATAATCCATATCAACGTTTTTCTATTTCTATTTCTCACCATTCTTTCATTCCTTGATATATATATATATATCGGTTTTATTGTTTTTCTTTTATATTTGTTATATTAAATTATTAAATCAAAATTAGGTGTCACACTGAAACCTATACGGAGGCTCCATCTTTCGTTGGTGCTTCCACAGACTACTGAAATCGAAACCGTATGGGTAGTATGGCCCGTCAGGGGGATGAGAATCGATCTTCCAAAAATATTTCATACCTTCCTACCCCTTACGAATCAACGAGCTTCATCAATACTGACATGTATACATTTACACTGTATATACACGTCTATACAAGTATCTATCTACTTGTATATATGTATATCTTTCTTTATGTATAAATATAGCATTATTGGAAGTAAGGATGAATTGTTTAAAAATGATTCAAAATGATTCTTTTTCCTTTTTTTTTTTTATTATAACAAAGAAAATATTGATTAGGTTTGAAAAGAGTATTAAGAGTATTAATGGGAAAGTGATTGAAATCGTATTTATGTTAGATATATATTATTTATTATTATTAAATATTATGAAATGATTATTATTTTTAATTAATAATAATAATTGATTTTCTCAAATAATTCGAGTAAATTGAAAGTATCTCAATAATATTATGGTTATCGGGAATTTGTCATCTATCTATTTATTGAATGTTAAAACGATTTATCGTTAAAGGATTCGAACAATGCCTTTTAATTAAAAGTACGCTCATACGTCTCGTATAATTTGCACATTATCATAAAATATTTCCTTCTAACGCAAATGTTTATATATACGTGTACATGATATGAATATGTAGATAAACATACGGAGTCTCGTGTATATATATATATATTCATTTTAATTAGACGTTGAGAAAGAATTCAGTTAAATGATTCCATTTTAATTTATATTTACACCGTTGTAGATAATTATTTATCGAGTGTTTAATTATTATTGCATAGATGCGATTAATTTGAAGACTTAATTAACTGGTTTATGAATGAAGATAACACTGACGATAACGTTTAAACGTGAACAAACTTGAGGGTAGGAGTATTAATAAAAAAAACTTTTTCGGTCCTCTCTCTCTCTCTCTCTCTCACTCTTTTCCTTATTCCAATGATAAGAAATTACATTAGTTTCAAGAGACTTTTAAACTCTCAGTAAATTGGATCACGGAAATACGTTTTTGTGGAAATAAGCTTATGGGTTTTGATATAAAAAAAAAAAAATGATCATTCTCGTCGTTAAAATTATGTCCAAAATAAACGAATATATTTCTATGTTGTATGTTTTATTCAAATTATTATTACTACGTATAAGATTACATTTTTAATGAAGTAAATTTAAAGGAACATCATTTTTTTCTTTTTTTTTCTTTACTATTTACTTATAATATCGTTCAATTAACAACCCACGCATATAATATATTCTATATACGGGTGTATTTTTTTTCTTAAATTTTATTAACATCATTGAAATTGAGAAAGGATATCATCATTACAAACGTAGAGGTCAGAATGACATATTTATACGAACGTTATCATTATCATGGACCTTGTCCTCGTTTCTACGATCGTTCCATTTTAACATACGATCCTGTTTGTACGAGCAAACCTTTATCATGGACTCTACCTTCCTCTTATATATCCGTATACAAAAAAAAAAGAAAAATTTAAATCATGAATTATTTCCATTGAAAAAAGAAATCTAACGAACGTATCATAAAAAATTTGAATAATTCTATAATTGGTAAAATTTTACACGCTCGCGTCGTTAATCGACTCGAATAAAAGATTCGATTACTTCGTATTATGGGATTTTTCATAATTCTTGAAAAGAATTCCATTGAAAATTTTGTTGGTAACTCTATCAAGTAACGTGTATAGTAAATCATTTTATACGTTAAATAAAATCTAACAAATGAAGTTTTTTAAAATAAAAAATAATTCCGATTGATAAAATTCTATGATAATAATAATAATAATAATAATAATCAACTTGAATAATAAATCCGATTAATTTCTATTGAATTTTTCATTTCTTAGAAAAGAGAGAAAGAAAATTCACATCGACGATTTGTTTGTAATGTTAAAAACAAATAAGCATGTATAAATTATATCACTAAAGAATTTGATATTAAAAAAACAAAATCAAACCATCGAATCATAAAAGATATTGAACGATTCTCTAAAATATTTATTATCTTATAAATAACAAATCGAATCCCCTTTTTTTCTATAGAAAAGAATCTCATTTTTTCGTTACGTTAACGAATGATACGTTTGATAAATCATTTTCCATTAAAAAAACAAAAAAAACAAAAGAACATCCAATACGATGAAACTATAAATAATTGAATAATTCTTATAAGTAAAAACTCAATGATAATGTTAAATGTCTACTTGAATAATAAATCCGATTACAATGTATTGGATTTTTCTTTTTCTCAGAAATGAATCTCATTGAAAATTCCTTTGTGACGTTAGCAAATAGTATGTATAGTAAAACTCGACGAAAACGGAATGGATAAGAAGGGTGTTTTATAGTTGAAAGAATCTTGAACGGTATCTAAGAAGTAACTGTACTGTCGTTCGAGTATACTACGATCGATAAACCCCTTCTACTGATCTAAAAACTTCTTCATAGTCGTAGTCGTAGTCGTTGTCGTCGTCATCGTCTGTTCACCCCCTTCTGCGATCGTTTATTTATAGTGATCGTGATCGCCGACGTCGGCTGTCTCAGACAACGAATTGTTCTTTTGTCATTTGAGAAAAAAAGAAAAAGAAAAAGAAATAAAACGTTTTTTTTTTTTCGTAATCTGAAGAGAGAGAGAGAGAGAGAGAGAGTTCAAACGAAACGTCGAATGCTGATGGATCGATAGAGCCAACGTCAGGACAACCAACGTCATTTTATCAAGGCAATCGTAATTGCCAATTTAAAAAGGGAGACCTTCGTAAAAATCGTATTTCATTTTCTCTATTTAACGCGAGAACTTCTTACTATTAATTTCTAGTTTAAAGAAAAAGTCGTTAGTACTAAGAACGTCTGCACAAGTGTCAAGTCTATGATAAATCGATGTAGTTTTATTATCTCTGCAAAAATTTTCCTATTAACTTGAAACTTATGCAACTGGTAAGTATTTATATACTTACCGTTACGACATCTTACACAAATTTTCCTTTTTTTTTTTTATTTTTTTTTATTTTATTTTATTCCACGAACTCGATTAATGGCAACAAAAAAATAATCATTATTATGAAATTAATTATTTTTATGAAATATTTTTAACGTAATTGTTATTACTTATTCCTTGTTATCTATATATATATATAATTTTAATATAAGTGTCGTTACAAATGTATTTATATTATATATATATGTATAGGAGAATTCTCACCTGTTATCTTTATAGTTAAATATATACATATGTACGTTGCTGTCGAATACGTTTCGGCTCTAACTAGTGTACGAACAGTAGAATGAAAAATAGGAAGTAAAACGTCATCGAAGAAATGGAAGTGGTCAACGATAGCGTATGAATGGATTTTCCTTGCGAAAGATTACGCAAAACTGGGCCACTGGGTATACTAGACCGTTCCAATGCACGCATCATATACATATGTATAATATATATTTTATATGTATCTTCAATATAATTAATTATTTATTTATATAAAAAATTTTTTCAATAAAAATTACATTGAATTCGAATAATCCAAACATTGTATTGAATTGTCCGATAAATTTATATCGATTTAATAATCTATAGACAACTTTTGTGTTTCTTCAAATTGATTAAAACTTTCCAGCCCAAACCTAATGTATAATATAAGTATTGAGTTGACCGAAAAGTTCATGCCGAATAATAAATATATATATATATTTGATTCATATTTCTCCAAAAAAAAAAAGAAATCAGCTGAAACTTCCCGAACAACTTCATACAAAATTATTGGATTGCTTGTAAAGTTAATGTTAATTTTCAAAACAAATTTATGTATATTACAAATGTAAATTAAATAAGATATCTGAGAGTTGTTACGGCTGAGCTAAGAGTTTTGTGGATTAAAACTTCAAATATATTTCAGAAAAACATTTTTCCCTAGTTATATAGCCATCAGAAACAAATGTTGCCTCTATACAAAAACTCTTTTCAGTATTCATAAATTTTCATTTGTCAAAAACTCATCTCTAGGTGGTCATATTACCCTAACCATAACACACCATATTTTATATATTAATAAATCAGAGCACTGATTTTTCGAGCAATCCAATATAAAAACAAATTCAAAGATTTTAACGACTGCTCGAATAATAATAATAATAATAATAATAAAAAAAAAGAAAAAGATTAAAAATAAACTAGAACACCTATAGTACATGTAGAAATGCGACAGATAACATACACCTGTGAGTAACGGAAAATAAAGTCTTGTACATATTTACTAAGCAAGTTGTTATGTGTATGAACGAACGAACGAATGAACGAACGAATGAAGGAACGAATGAAGGAACGAATGAAGGAATATAGGAAATAAGGAACGAACGATATCGTCTTGCTACAAAAAGATCCGTGGTCAAAACGAATGACGGGGAATAAGGAAACCGCAGAAGTCGCCACGTCGTCGTGAGCTTGAATACGTGTCTATTGTTATATATATATATATATACAAACACACACACATTTTATATATATATAAAATATACATTACTTTTATCTACATCTATCATATCTATCTATTCATATATATGAACTAAGAATATATACATATACACTATATATTCAGGGATTTGTGAAAAGACGGAAAGCATTGAGGCGAAAAAGAAGGGTAGAAAATATAAGTAAAATAAGAAAAAAAAAAGAGATAGAGAGAGAGAGAGAGAAAAGAATAGGAGAAAGAATGGAAGCAAGGAGAATAAGGGCGTGATGATACGTGTTTGTCTTGGATCTGTCGAGCCCGAGAAATTTTTCTCCACGTTATTGGGGGATACGTTCGTATAAAGTAGAGAAACTACCGTTGAAAATAAAAAGGGACGATAAAAGTAAATCGTGAAAGTGGTGGTTGGTTGATAGTGGTCCTAAGGTGGGTGGTGTTGGTTAGTGTTGGTGGAGAACGGTGATGGTCAAAGGACATCAGAAGGGCTCGTCCAAAACATCGCCCATTAAGGATTCCGTTTTGGTTTTACGTACGCGAATGGCCCGAATGATGTCCATTGTCGAGATTACTTCGCCTAACCAACGTCCGGTATCATAATATCCCTATCTATTTATCTATTTATCTATATGTCTATCTAAGCTTCATTTATTTCTATTCTTATTATTCTTCTTCAATTATATCAAAAGTGTTAAGAGTGTGCGTGAGAGAAATATTAAAAAAGAAAAAGAAATAAACATACGCGAGTTCTTTATCCATTTTCATTAAATATTTTATACAATTTTAACAATAATTATACACCCGCAGAAATATATTCGGATTTGGTTCGTGAAAATTGGTCATCTAAAAAATCAAATGATTATTTTATCAATTATTTAAAACATTATATTTAACGATCGATTTCCTTAGAGAAAAAAAAATGGGAAAAGAGAGAGAGAGAGAGAGAGAGAACGTCCTTGGTCCTGTTTTGGCATCGAGGTCGTGGAAAGAGAGAAACACATCGGGTCACGGTTCCTTCGGGAAATAAACGCAAACCAGAGGGAAAATCGTTTTCTATTCTTAGAATTTCTGTCGAAGCTATCCGGTAGCTCATTAAAAAGAATCTTCGTTGCGGTGTGTAGAAATTGCGTACCTTAAAAAATCATTTCTCTCTCTCTCTCTCTCTCTCTCTCTCTCTCTCTCTATTTTTCCTTTTGTTAGAATTTATGAACAATGTTGGTAAGTAAAAATTAACAAAACAAATCTCTTTGACTTTAAGGCATTATTCAACGTATTCTATGTTAGTATACTCAAAGTATTATATCTTATCATTTTTGTATTAATATCCTGTGTGTGTATATTTATTGCAAACTTATATATATATTATTCTATATAAACCTTATATTAAACTTATTATATATGCTGTCACACGGAATTTAACGAATTGGAATATGTATTCCTTTGAAATCATAGTTCATGATCGAAAGATGTTAAGAATCTATATTGTTTGAGTTGATAAAGAAACCCAACGATCATGTACCGATATGCATTGTATAAGTTGAACATTATAAAAGATTCAAAAGGAATGAGAAACAATAGTGATCCTAGAGAGAACACGAATAATTTCCCATCGAGCTTATCGTAGGTGTTACATTGTCGGTAGACGTGTAAAACGATAGGTAGTAAGATCGCATAGATTTCATCGAATAGTATTCTGTTTTAAACTCATCTGTTGCATTTACCTTTTATTACTTTCAACGACATTATTTCGCAACTATTCAACATCGTTTCTAAATTAGCATACGTAAAACAATGGGATAAAAGTCAATTGAATATCGTTCAACTTTGGTATTTATTTAAACAAACATGACACGTGTTATATAATCGATACTATCAGATCGGTTAAAATTAATTGAACGATGTTTAATTTTTCGTGTAATTAATTATTAATTTGTTCTTCTTTTTCTCTTTTTTTTTTTTTTTCAGATGGCGAGCCAAGATCCAAAGTGGCAAAAGGATGCCGCGGATCAGAACTTCGATTACATGTTCAAACTTCTAATAATCGGCAATTCGTCGGTCGGTAAAACGTCATTTCTCTTCCGTTATGCGGACGATTCTTTCACCTCGGCCTTCGTGTCGACCGTGGGAATCGACTTTAAAGTGAAAACCGTCTTCAGAAACGATAAAAGGGTCAAGCTACAAATCTGGGTCAGTATAATCGCTATGTCGTTGTACAGGTAAACGTAATATACTCTGCATTAGAATATGTGTATATTATTTCCGTTGTACATGTAAATAGGTATATATATATATATATATATATATATATATATATATATATATATACATATATAAGCAAGTGTATATACATGTACAAATACACATGAGTTGCATACACCTTGCATATCATCGATGCTTTCAAAACCGCTATACGTATCCGTCATATATGATATTATATCGATACATATATCTTTCTTTAGGATGAACAATTTATTCATTTCCGTTGAGATATACTCGATATAAAAATATAACTAAATATCGTGAGAAATATAATTATAGAAGAAGTTACCACGAGAAACAAACGGTTTAACTGACGTTCGTAATTTCTCTTCAAAAACGATTCTTATTGTTAGTTAATTAATAAAACGATATATAAATATATACAATAATACAGATTTTGTATATACGAGAATCATTTATATTAAATATAAATAAAGTTTCGATTAGAGTGGTTAAAAAACAAAACTCTTACAATTAGTCGAATAAAATAGTTTCCAACAAATGGTTATAATTTAATGATATTAATTGCAAATATTGTTTTAGGACACGGCTGGCCAAGAAAGATACAGAACGATCACAACGGCCTATTACAGAGGTGCAATGGGCTTCATTTTGATGTATGACATCACGAACGAGGAATCGTTCAATTCGGTTCAAGACTGGGTGACGCAGATAAAGACCTACTCGTGGGACAATGCCCAGGTAATCCTCGTGGGCAACAAGTGCGACATGGAGGACGAGAGGGTGATCAGCTTTGAAAGGGGTAAACAATTGGCAGATCAATTAGGTGTCCAATTTTTCGAGACATCTGCTAAGGAGAACATTCAAGTTAAGGTATATATCGACAATTAACAGAAACAAAAAAGATAACATTAGATCGATGTCATTTTAATTCAATATTTTTCATCAAATTAATCCTCGTTAGAATATTTTTTGCATCATCATCATCATCATCATCATCTTTTATCGGGGGGAAAAAAGAAAAGAAAATAATCTCTCTCTCTGTATTAAAAAATTATTATTCCATCTCTGTATCATTGAATGGAAAAAAAAGATATCGAGTTTCGATAATGAGGTCAATCAAGTTAATGGACGAACGCGACTAAGAAATCTGATTAAATCGTATAACGAATTGGGGAATTATTAATTAACATCATTGGGAGTATATTTCTTTTTTTCTTTTTCTAGTTAATAAATGGTGAAAACTTTTCAAATCTTACGTTAATTTTTAATACCGTTATACTTTAGCAAATGTTAGATAATTGAGGAGAAAGGCGAGAAGAAAAAAGAGAAAGAAAGAAAAAAAAAAACTATAAACAAAGTAAACAAAGTTGGAAGGATATTAATTAATCTCGTTAATGGATAATAAAGGAAGAGGGCTTGCATAAAGTCACAGATGACGTTCCTTGCCGATGTGTCTTATGTATTATTATAGTTGCTTTACTTGTTTCCCCGTGGGCGTACACATTCGAGTGAACCGATGTGTACCGAACTTTCCATTACCATCGATCCATTGTCCTCGACTGCTAAACGTGCACGCCTATTAATCAGACTTCTTCCACCAACGCGGGAGAAATATCCGATCGAAGGGTACCGGATCGATAACAGTTCTCTGCTGTCTGCGCGCCGACTCCGCCATTTTTTGTTCTCTTTTTCATTTTATTTTTCCCCTTACGCGAGAAAAAGATAAGGGTTCCTTTTTTTTTTTTGTTATCGAAGTAAGATATTTATTTCATATTCTTTTTCGAGTTCCGTTAATTCCACATAACCGTTAAATAAATAATAAATTATGATCTATAATAATTTTCGCGAAAAATATACTTCCTTATTATATTTTATTCCTTATACTTTTTTCTCTCTTTCTTTTTTATGAGTTCATAAATAAATACGAAATATTTTAAACACGTAAACCTATAAGATTCTTTTTACGATTTCGATGGGATTCGTTAAACACTACACTTTGTTATTATTAACGACTGTTTATTCATTAGTTTTGTTTTTGTTTTACTATCTAAATGATTTATAGTACCCGAAGAAAAGTAACCTAACAGTTATATAAGTTTTTACGATCACTTTTTCAAAATTAATGACTGTTTAAAGAAAGACTCTTTCTTTCTCTCTCTCTCTCTCTTTCAATACATAATATCTAGTTTTACACTATACTCATCTTGAAACTTTTCTTTCGAAATTATGTTAACTTTGCCGCCCCACCCTTTTACTTATTTTAATGAGCAGGCTGCTATTAATTAGGTCGCAACTAACATAAAGCGACTGTAAATCAATTATATCTCAAGCTAATGAGAACTTTCACACGGCTTTTAATACATCGGCAACGAATTTGTTCTTTTTTACCTCTTCTTTTTCCTATATTTACTTAATACTGATTTATTTTGAGATTATAATACACAGAGCTTGGGGACGTGTTAGATGGGATCGAATAAAAAAATTAATTATAAGATTAAAATATTAAATATACAGTGTGGTATTGTAATCGTAGTATAACCCAGTAAAACAATCCGTATATATCTGTTTACTTCTTATTATTATAATACTTTAAATATAGTAAAGATATACAAAATTATTTAATACGATCAAATTAACGAAGTTTAGATGTGTTGTGTTTGGAATATTAACATAAAGAGAAATGTATGTCGAATTAAATAAAAAAGACGCTGAACTTTAAAGATTAAGTTGCTAAAGAAGTCCCAATAAAGGGACGAAACGTCCAACTTAGTTAAATTAAGTTCTACTTCTTTTCATGTCCAAGTTCCCTATGAACCTTTATCATCAAGAATTATAATTTTGGACGAGAGAAAATACTGAATTTAATATTTATATTTATTATTTTATTATTTATCAATTATATAATATAATAATATTTTATTATTTATATATATTTATTTGTTTTATCTCTCAACGATAAATAAAAAAAAAAATAATATTTTTGTTAACAGGCGGTCTTCGAACAACTGGTTGACATAATATGCGACAAGATGAGCGAATCGTTGGACAATGATCCAACATTGATGGCAGGTGGTACGGGCCAGGCCAAAGGTCAACGACTTACCGATCAGCCGACCAACCCATCGAACACTAACTGCAATTGCTAAGAAGAGATAGAAAGCGTATGATGATGACAGAGAGCGAGAGCGAGAGAGAGAGAGAGAGAGAAAGAAAGAGAGAAAGTGTGAGAGAAGAAAAAAGAAAATGAGGAAAAAAGTGTGAGAAAGAGAAATGGAGAAAAAGAGAGAGAGAGAGAAAGAAAGAAAGAAAGAAAGAGGAAAAAGAGAGAGAAAGAGAGAATCCGTGTGTGTATGCGTGAGTGCATGTTTATGAGAGAAAGAGAGAGAGAGAAAGGGAGGAGAAAAATCGTGCTTTTCGCGCGTTAAGCTGGCTCTAGCTAGTCTTACCTTCTTCACCTTGTTCCTTTTGTTCGTTATTATTAAATATTATATTTAAATATTATTATTATTATTGCTATTATTATCGTTATTATTAAAAATGATCTCTCGTTCGTGGTTAGCCGTCATTTTTTTATTCTTTTTCCCCCTTCTCTATCTTTCTCGACGCGAGAAGAAGAAAAAAGAAAAAAGAAAAAAGAAAATGAAAAAGGAAAAACAGAAAGAAAAGAACAAACACAATGGATATATAAATATAAATATACAAAAAAATATAAATATATATATAGCATATATATTATATATATATATATATGTATATATATATGTATGAGTATATATGCATACGTACGTGCGGGCAAAAGCGTATTATATGTGTATATATTTGTATGTATTTATGTATAAGTGTAATGCGACGATGATCGCTAGCCGATCATCATGCTGACGGTGCCGCCGAGGACCCCCCTTACCCCTACACCCATTTCTCCACCCACCACCTACTCGGCGCCACACTTTTGGAGCTTTTGTATGTCTCTCTATGAAATTATCGGAGTTTCGACGTCGTACTTTTTTCTTTCGGCTCTCTTCGAACAATAATATAACAAATTTTTGGACGTGTTATAAAAAATATGAAAGGAAGGACGAAAGGAATAGTCTTCTTCTTGAAGAAGAAGAAGAAGAAGAAGAGAGTATCAATGATAATATTGAAAATGAGACGAGGATTTAACGAAGACTAAAAGGAATTCGATCGAACGAACTGTAAAATTAACCGCGTCAGCTTCCTACCTACCCCCCTTGCCCCCCCCACTCCCCCAGTGGAATCTGGAGCAAGCGATTTAGGACAAATTCCGTGGCACACGTTCTATCTTATGGGCAAATCGTAACCATTTTTGGGAGATCTGCTTTCAATCTACCTTGATCTATCTATCTCTCTCTCTGTCTCTCTCTTTCTTTTTTTCTCTCTCTTTCTCTCTCTTTTTATCTCTTTTTGCTCTAACTTTTGAAATGTAATTAAATTCGTATACCTCGAATATCGAATAATATATGAAAAAAGGAGAGATAGACGCAAAAAGAAAAGATAAACGAAAATGATATTAGGTTTGTTGTTTGTCAATCTTATGGTGTCGTCGAATTTCCTAACGTGTTGAGCCAGAGACATTGAGATTTAAAGAGAAAGAGAAGGAGAGAGAGAGAGCTTGAAAATGCAATCAAATGAAATCTCTCGTGACATATATACATATATACATATATATATATATATATATATTTACATAGATATCCTAAGTATGTACTTGCAAAACGCACATACACCTACAACATATGAGTCGTTAGTTATGAAAGTGGACTAATTGTAAGTTATAAAAATTGAGAAAAAAAAAAGAAAAGAAACATTTATTTCTTGATTTATTTTATAATACAAAAAAATATATTAATTTTTGAAATATATATAAATCGGGAGATTAATTATTTTCTTGTTCTTTTTTTTTTTTTTTTTTTTTTTTTTTTTTTTTACATAGTCCAGTGTCATAATTACCGGCACACAATTATATAATATATTTGCGTGTAAAAAACACGTAAGGATTAAAATGAGAAAATGTATGGGTTCGTAATATGAAACGTTTAACGCGGGAGTGTTGTTTTATTAGTTAATTAAAAATTGTATGATGGATAAGAAAGAAAATTTCGAGCCGAAAGCACGACGACGTCGATAAAAACACCCA